TTAATTTCGATGGAAAAACAGATTGTCAGCATTCTACTTTAATGGATTCCAGCACAACCATCTTGACCCTCATTTCCCACAATTCTCTCCCTGTTACATCATTGTCTAGTAAGCGTTGAATTATCAGTTCCCCTCGATATCTTACGGAGATTAAATCAAACCGTCGTTTCAGTTAAAGTAATCTGTGTGAAATTTCCTGTGAAAGCCAGACGTAGACGCAGCTTGCCTCCAAAGATTACTAGACGAATATCTGTTTTCATAGAATGGATCCAATTAAAACATACAAATGCGTTTATGTACTTAAAAGAACTCTCACACTTGCTTTCTGTCCATGCCCAACAGACCTAACACGCAATGATAACGAGGTAAAGCTGTCTTCAAGTCATTTGACGACTTTATTCAATTTTTATGTTAATTATCATACGAACGTGTTTCAGACAGTTTTCCTTCTCAGACTTTTTATTTCCAGAGGCATGGAAGTTCCTTAAGCTGTAACCTGTAATGGGTGTGATCACCACGCTAATCATTACGTCATAACCGGCCCATTTAACTTGGTAGCAACCGAAAGGGCAGAGCTGAGGCAATATCATGATTTCCACCCGTAAACCGCACTCTTTCGTAAAACAAAAACATTTTGAATGCCTGGCTTCGAGATCATACGATATCTTAGCCAAGCTTTCACAGAATGACTCTCCTTTTCTTACTTATAAAACGGGATCTTTTTAGTTAATTTTTCTTCCAGATTTTTTTTTTTTTTTTTTTGCTTTAAATTAATTTCAGTTTCTTCAGACTCGTGATAAACAACATCCTGATGCGCAATTGATGACGCAGACTCTCCTTTTCCAAAAAAAAAATGTAAATTAATGTTCCAATTCAGTAAGGAAACAGCCCAATTTTCAGGCTTTCGACAAGCTTATATTGCTTGAGCCAAGAAGATTTGCACCCTTTTCAAGACGGCGATTCGACAAGTTCGATTATGTTGTTAGAGGATGTAGTTAGAGAAAATTTGAAACGTAGATAGACCGAGTTACCTTTTACAGCGGCATGATAAAATAAATTTGGCATGCCGGCTTCGTACATCAGAACAACTTTGTCCGGCCACGCTATCGGCTTTGCCTGCGTCTTGTAGAAGTCGGAAATTGCTCTTAAACCGCAGATAAAGGCAAGAACGAACACAGAATAATAACAAAATCCTTCTGCTGCACTGAATAGCCAACTGATAAGTTGACGACCAAATAAATACAAAAAAGAAAAAAAAAATGATCTCATGGTCAGGAAGTGTGGGAAATTAAACAAGTCGCAATCGTTCTGGTCTTAGTCAAGGACCGTGGGAATTTCACAAGGCATTGGCCCAGCGCAAGGAAAAAATGAAATTATCAGGAAATATTTATTTATCATCGGGGTCCTCTAAACTAAGAGCCTTAAGATAAGAAAAACCCAAAACAAAACAACAATAATAACAATAATCGGGAAATCATGTAACAAGCTTTACTATAGTCTATAGACAGTCACAGCTGATGCACTGACTTTTGCCCAATATTCACAAATCACTTCAGTGTGTGGAAAATTTACCTCACGAAAAATGACGCGTTGTGCATCAGCAGAACATGGATTCCTCTGTGAGATTCCTTCTAGTCCTTTTAATACTCAGCCCCTAATTATCACTCCTGATTCTCTTTTAATTTCGATTCCGCAGCCAATGGTAATGAGGAGCCGGCCTAATGCAACTCCGATTTCTTTTTTTAAAGCAACGAGGTCGATCCCTCTCGTAAGAAAACACGGAAAAACAAGTAGGGCAACTGACAGTCACATTACTGGATTTACAGGCCTCATGACATGAATTGGTTCTCGACCGTACTCTTGCTACGTTTTCGATCAATCTTTAGTTTCAGTTTTTATCGGTATGTTTGTTTGGTTTGACCTTGAAAAGATGGCTATACATATTGTTCTTTCAGTTCCGTTATCTGACATTATATACACAAAACAAAGAACTGTGTAATGGTGCGAGACTTTATTTACATGCATTTTTGAGTAATTTAGTCGGACAATCCTCCCGGTCGAAATTATTAATCGTAACAAAAAAAGGAAAAAAAAGCGGAGTTGAATTGTTATTTTTTTCATTAAACTTATGAACAGGATTAAACTCTGTCAAAGCGTCAACGCTGACTGTGTGCATGACTGTGACTAAATATTGTGTCATCGTAGAAAGCGTGACAGGAGGAAAAAGAGTGACGGCGATTTCCATTTTCACTGTACTTTGGAATGAAGCGCCGTCACCAAAATATTACACAAATAAAATTTGCCCAAGTTTTTCTTATCAAGATGTAGAAAGTACAAATGCTTTATGTTGGGACGTTGAAATGAAATGTTATCTAAATTTAACGCTTGTAACATTCAGAAAATATTTCGAACACTCCAGATTAAATATCGGTGTGACGTAATCAGCTGGAGTATTCTGATTGGCTGGGATTAACACACCTAAACATGTTCACTTCCTGTAAATGAAATTGACGTGAGCTGCGAACTCGCATTCGATCGAGAACTCGAACCCGCTGACTGTGGCAAGGATTGGTAAGAAAACACGACTTATTCGACAGTAAAAACTTCAGAGTTGATCATTGGGTAATTACCTTGTGAGAAAAAGCAGTTGAATAGGGACAAGAATCAAACATCGTCCGCCATTTTGTCGAAAAATGGCGGCGTCGCTCAAGTGTGGCAGCGTTTGGCGCCAGTTTCCACTTATTTGTGGCATCTTCTCTTGTGCTTTTCTTGTTTTATCTGTTCCAGGTATGTATATCTTCTGCTTTGGTAAAGCAAGGTAGTTTCTGAACTCACGTAAAGTCAGCTAGGCGATGATATTTTACAAAAACGTGATCGAATGGTTCGGGTTCAATTCGAACATGAGTTTAGAATTACTCAAAATAGGTTTCAAAAAGCTACAGCTTAAAAATTATAAGCTTACAGGTAAGCTTAAGTTAGGCCATAAGTTTACTGTAATTTTAAAGCAAATTATAGATGTTAGTTCAGCTTGGGAGATCTGCAGTTGTATTATAAATAAGGTTTACATACATTTAACAGCTAGCTTTTTATAGCTTCGATCAACAATAGCTGTTGAGAAGGCGTGTAGATGTAGTTGACAGTCATTCTAATTGTATATGCCTGTTTTGCACGTTGAAGCAGGCGAGAATTTTATTTTGTGATTTGTTCGGTCTCAGTTGTAAATTTTTAAGATAATCCGTCAGTGCGTGAAAGTTTTGAACATTGTGTTCGTTTTTGCGGTCTTGAATGTGTAAGCTTACCCACATTTTGGCCTTTGGTCAATAGACTTTAAGTATTTGAAGTTTCTTTCTTTCCGGATTTTCTTGGAGCAGATGACAAAGGTTAAGCTCATAAATATTTTCAAACCAGTCCTGCTGTACAAAATGTCAATGTCAGATATAATATGGACACCATTTTGTTGTGTATTATAATGTATGTTTTGACTGCATGTCTCAAAGAAAACAAGCCTTATTGTCAATTATGACGGGCATGTCCTGCTATTTCCATGTGGCCATGGGGCGCCCTGGGAAAATTAAAGCTTATTTCAATTGTTAATTTTATTGCAAGATTAACATACCTATTGAACAGCTCATTAAGACCTGCTGTTTATGCCAAAGAAGTCATTTTGATCTACATGCCTGCATAGTTGTATCTGGAGCTAGTGATTAGGTCCATTTATTCAAGACCTGGTGACACTTATTCAAAAATTTTCTTGCACCTAACTCAAAATTTCAAGGCATCCTTTTACCCTAAAAAGAAAAGAAAAAAAAAAGGTAATTATGTGGCTTTAACAGTGAACAATCTATATACATGTACGTGGATGGTGTTATCCTTACATGTAATAGTAACACTCTCTGTAATGATACACTGTTTATACATGTATGTAGTTTTGTACTGCTTCTTTTATGCCTTCTGACTGGCAGGGGTATTTCACAGAACACCGAACGCAGAATGTACTGTTTGCTTGCGGTTTATTTCACCCATGTTTGGTTACGGTTAGCTGTTATTTGAGGGAAAGGGCTAAGTGCAAGCAAACATAAGGGTATACTTAAAACCCCTAGGGTAAAAAGGCATCTGTACTAAACAGACTGCTAAGATTCCACACAGTATAATAATGCCTTCCAGTATTTTTTGTTAATCTAATTTACCAAGCAATCAGGGGGACCAATTTTAATTTGCCAAAGGATGAGGGCTTTGTGCAGAGACTGGAATAACTTAAGAATAATTTAAATGATGAAATGAAAGCTTTCGTCACGATAATTGCTTTGTTTAAAAATTATGTGCTGCGAATCAAAATTACTCTTTTTAAGCATCATCAATCTTCTTTTTTGTGTAATAGTACATGTAGATGTAATGAGCACACCCATGTACTTTTAATTTAGTACTAATTTAGTTGCCAAGGACGTTGGCAGTGTATTTAATTAAGAGCCATTGTCAACTAAGTGTTGAGGAGAAGCTGGCAGTAATTTCGTGCGATTTTCCTACACTGCTCAGTGAGGGGTTTAAAGAACTCAGAACACTAAAGCAACCAAACGTTGCTAAGTCAGAGGTCAGTCGGATGTGACGTGGCACTGCAGATGAATGTATCATGCATGTTTCTACGCTTACCATCATTTATGGTGTTTGCTTTCTGCTCTTATTACTGCACTTTCAACAACATGCGGACTGTAAAATTCAAAGCTTTTAAAACTGACAAATGCGTTTTTGGCTACCATCAATCAAATGTTCAGCGGCTCCACCCAGCTTGCGTGTACTGCCGAGTGTGTGGTAATCAAATCATTGAGCACAGTTCAGACAACTAAACCGTAGTCAGAAGCTGGGAGGAGCTGCTGAACATTTGATTGACAGTAGTGAGAGGGCATTTGTCAGTCGAGCTTTGAATTTTAGAGTCTGCATGTTATTGAAAGGTACTTTATTTAGCTGGTTTGTTTGTATTGTGTCTTGTGATTGGCCTTTTTACACTGTGGTTATATTGTAACTAACTGGTTTTGGTTTGTTAGACTCTTAAATAATGACTGCTACTATATACCGTATATCTTGAAAAAATGTCCAGTGTTTTCAAGTTTATAATTTGTAATCTATCTTACTCATCCTCAGTCATAGCCATGGATCCTTGTTTATTTTCAGTTTTTTAAGTTGTCTTAAGTTTGGTATTTTTCTACCTTAGGAAGCTATTGTTTTGATGTATCCATGAGGTAGCCCTTTCTTGGTCAACTTTTCTCATTGGCATTACAATGTAATCCAACATACATGTACATTTTTTTGTTGGAGAAGTCTAATGTACATGTAGTTTTAAAGGAGAAGGTCACTCCAAAAAGCTTAGTTCTTTATTCGTCTTTGCCTATAGCAAGTAAACATTCAGCTTTTTCACCTAGCGAAGTTTCAGCCTCTGAATTGCCTGCTATCCTGATGTAATTCGTCTTGAAAGAAGCGATGGAGGCTGCCATTTTGAAACTGTACTTGGCAGCCAGACCATGTTTATGTGACGTCATTCCGACCGACTCTAAATTGGCAGGAAGGAGAAAAACCTACAACTGACTTTGCATCAAGTCACTGGGCCAGCAAAATGTATTTCTTTTACAAGCGATTATGTACTTCACTATCTTCACTGCTGTTAATAAAATTTTTCCAAATTTGGAGCATGTTTGGGTCAGAAATACAGCTTAAGAGCAGCCATAACCCAGAGGGATAGTTAAAAGGCTTGTTGGAAGCCCTTTGGACAAAATCTCCTGGACGGAATGATGTCATGAAAATGTGTCGTGGCTGCTGAGTACTGTTCAAAATGGCAGCAACAATGTTGAATTTTGGGCTTCTTTGGAGACTAATTTCGTAAGGAAAACCTGCACTTTAGAGACTGAGGCTTTGGTGAGTGGTTAACTTAGTGTGAGGTTTTTACTATTGTTGACAAAAAATATACATTTTTTTGGAGTGACCTTCTCCTTTTACCAAAATTGCCTCATATGCACATTGGATTTGTAAGCAGAAAATGACTTAAAATATTTTGAAATTGCTCCAGCTCCTAATAATTTTTCATCACACTGTTTGTACATGTGCTGATGGTCATTTGCTTTTCTGCAGGCATTGGGGCACTGAAATTTCTCAGTCCTCCAGCCCAGGTGTTACCTGCCATACTGGGTATGAATAAGGACATAAACTGCACAACGGATGAACCAAGTGCTACCGTCAGACTTTTGCACCAGCCTACATTCACCAATTGGGTTGAACGAACTGTTACGCCAAATAAACTTATTTTAAGGGGACAAGTGTTTACGTTGTTGAAAGTCAATGTCAAAGATGGTGGAAGGTATAACTGCGAGGCAACATACAAAAATCAAACTATTCGATGGCCAACAGTTTATGGCATGGCAGTGATTAGTCAAGGTAAGCTTAATTCAAGGGGAATTTGACTTTAAAGATGTACAGTCCAATTCAGAAGATATTTCTCCACAACCACTGTAAACACATGTACATCGTACATTACAATTTAGTTTTCAGGGCTTCAGACAGGGCTCAAGGGTGTGGGACTGCACAACTGGGACATACACCTGTACATACCTGGACAATATAACAGCGATAATAATTTATTCTAAAATATCTGCAAAATTCCACACAATGCTTAAAAATTTATGCGGAATTGTGTAATACAGGTGTTCCCATTGATTTCCAAGATATCTAGACACTTTCTACTGTATGCTGTTTATGGGCTCTTTACCTTTTCATTGGTGGATTGTGATTATGGTTTTGCAAAAAATGAATCGCTGTGCTATTGTTGTTAAATAGTTTCACATGCCAGTGGCTTTGTGTTTGCTAGCCAGTGGCTTTGTGTTTGTGTAAACGTAGCAGAGTCAGTTTAAGATAGGTTGAAAACTAAGCCTCCAAATCAAGGCTAAAAAACATCTTCTAGAAAATCTCAGTGTGAGTTAATTACTGTAATCCCTTCTGAAAAAATTTCACAGTGATATTCAGGGCTGTCATTAAGGGCTGTAGCCCATAACGCCTATGGCTGAATATGCTTGATGGACCCTTGATGTTTCAGGTCAACTTGCCTATTATTGACTAGCCTGCGAACGCAGACATGTTTCTGGCTGTCACTTGGTTCCGCTGAAAAATAACGTCTGAGAACCCGAGCCAGGAAATGATTTCTGTGACATTGGAATTTTAAGCCAATCATAGTAGCCCCAGAACTACTGTGTGAGGTATTCGCTGCGAAGAGCACTCAAGTTTCATTCTATCATGGAATTTGATTGGCCAAAGAGAAACAATAGTCATTACGTCACAGAAATTGTTTCCTGGTTTGGGTTCGCAGACATTATTTTTTGGCAGAACCAAGTGACAGGCGAAAATACGTCTGCGTTCGCAGGGTAATTAGTTACACAATTCACCCATAAAGTAGCAAGTTTGTTACGTTTGTGAAGATCAAGGCTACAGGTGAATCAAAAGTTAAAAACAGCCCTGATATTTATCAAAGAAAAGGTGCCTGATGCATAGTGAATGCATAGTGTTTGCTTACCGAGCTCTTGTTCTACAACAGTACTGTACAGTAGTGCCAAATACTTTTACAAAATTTTGCAATCCCAACTCATGATCAGATCCCTGCATGCGCACAATCGCCTTTTTCCGGCACAATTTGGCCCCAGAAAGCACTGTCACTGTCAGAAGTCCTTAGTGTTCCTCCTATTGTTGATTATGAAGAGCTGCACCTGTGCTAACAATGTCTTTTAACTTAATGTGCTTCACAGGTCAATTGCCAGACCACTTTAAATTGATTCCTGAGAAACCAATTATTTTGGTACGAGGAGGGACAGGAGAAATTACTTGTGAAGCTGAGGGTGTTTCAGTTAGTAAGCTTCAGTGGAAGAAAGTGTTGTCTCAATCTGTTGAGCAGTCCGTTCCTGACAGCAAGGTCACTAATGTTGTAGACAATGCTAATAATTTAGTGAAGGCTATTCTAAAATTCACAAATGCTCAACCCCAAGATACTGGTGACTACAAATGTGCGCTGACTGCATTTGGAAAGCAAGGTCGTAAGCTAACAAGCGTACGAGTTGATGGTAAGTTCATGACTACACATTATGTTTAATTGAAGTACAGTGAGCTCATGTGACTCGTATGTGTACATCAAGTTTTCACAAATTACAGCAGCATTTGATGTAGATGGAGAAGGATTTGTAGTGGTTGGCAGTGAGCATTCAGAATGTTGTACTCAAAAAAGAGAAAAAAAAAATGAAAGAAAGAAGGCCATATCTGATTTCAGGTTTCACCAGTTTGCCAATATGAAGCTTTTGATGCCAGAAGTGTCATCTTGGCCCCATAAACATTTTCACATGAGATGTTGCAAATAATCAGATGAAAAAAATCCATCCAACAAAGACCATCTGACAAAGATTTTTCATCTTCAAAAGGACAAGTTTACACCATTCTAGCATTTACAGGGTTCTCCTGAAAATTTGAAGTAGAGGGAGAATAACTTTGAGTAGGCGGCCGACAATGCCGATGAAAAGATGTGGAGTGGTTTTATTGGAGCCACGTGGAGGAGGAAGGGGGTAGGGGGCAACCGCAACCTTTTATTGCGGGGGTCTGGGAGTCTCCCTGGAAAAAATTTTGAAATTGGGGTTCTAAAGAGTGCATTTCAGTGTATTTTAAGCAATCATGGTTTTGTTCTTTTGTTAAAGAAAAGCAATTTCACCGAAAAAAACATACGTGTAATGTATTGTGTTGATTGAACAGGTTAATCATTGTCTTCCATATCAAATTTGAAAAAAATATCAAAAACGTCAAAAACGTTCTCATTTTGTGGTCAATCACGCATGTAAAAACAAATGAAAAGCCAAACGAGAAAAGAGTTTTGCTGGCATTGAAGGTACTAGATTGAGGTGTGACATTTATTTTGTTAAAAGACCAGTTTTGAATGGCTTTAACACAGTGCTTGGGGTGGAATTCATTGAATGTGATGAAGCTTGTGATTGGTAACCGTTGCAAGCGCAAGCCTGTAATACTTGAAGTTTCCCACGGATTTAAGCTCAGAATTTTTTCTGATTAAGCGTGCAGACCATCATCAAAGTTTTGAACCTTTGTGGTAGTTTGGGTTTTTCGTTCATGATTTCAAGAGTGATAAAATCAATACAATCAAACTTAAACTTGACATATTTTGCAAATGTTCCTCTTTATAATGAAGCCTTGAAATAGTGCATGTATTTATTCATACTTCCCTGCTCGATAAGCTCGCCAGTTTNATTTCAGATTTCTTTTATCTTACAGCTAGAAGAGTTGTATTTTTTAATCGCTACGTATTTGTTGAGAAAATTAGACATTGTTTTTATGCTTAATTTTATTGACAATAGGCTCACATTGTTACAAATAAAATTTGTTCATAATTTATTTACTATAAGTAGCCAGCGCGCCAAGGACGACTAGACGACGAATTTCGTCGGTCGCCGGAGCTTGCGGAGAACTCTGATTTACTGAACTGCCTTATTGGAGTATTGAGTATTGCTGCCGAGTAGGTCAGGGTACACATGGTGAGGTGAAGTTGATGAAATCCACCATTTTGGATTTGTCCCCTGGCCTCTGGCAGATACACATTGTGAAGGACCCTGTGAAGAAATCAGTTTGTTTCAATTTGGGTTTTCTCCATTTCGGAAAGAATTTTGTTTTTTAGGTGGAAAGTACATGTAATATTTGAAATCTACATTCCAAAGTGAAACGTGGTGAAAAGTTAGTGTCAAGCCCTGACTACATTTAAATGTTATATATTGCCAGTGACAAACACAGATTCTATTCCCTGGTTAGCGGACAGCCGCCTCACTAGGTCTAGCACACAGACATTTGTGTAGATCAAAATAAATACATTTGTTATAAATTGATGTTTTAAATACGTGTACATGTATAACCTTGCCTTTTTTATAGATGTTACACCACCTACCATAAGCCCCTTCAGTGGAGATACCACAATAAAGGAAGGGACACAAAAGGTTATCAAGTGCGTAGCAAAAGCATCTCCAAGACCAAGTGCAATCTGGTACAGAAATGGCAAGAAATTAGATAGTACAAACTGCACCAGTGCAAATGACAAAAGCTGCGAGGATGTCATTTATGAGGTCTATGAAGAAAACCCTAGTTCAGCATTGCACACTACTTATTTTATTCAAGTGCTTAAAATACGCAGTGCATTGTATCCCAGAGATCAAGGAAAATTTGTGTGTAAAGCAACAAATGGAAATGACCCACCTGCTGAGTTAGATTTTGACCTGGATGTGCAAGGTATGTGCTATAATGTACTATCATGTATTAAGCAGCCTTTAAAAAACAGAAATTGTATCACTCAGGGCAGGAAAAAATTTTGAAATGTAGTTGCCCAGTGGGCCAGCACATTTCAGTTTTCAGTTGCCCTCTTTTAAATATTACTTGCTTAATAGGCTCGCAAGCAAATCTTGGATTTTAAATTAATCCATGCTTTCAACTCATTGTTTTGCTCATCAGTTACTCTTGCAGTCATAAATTTCGAAATTGTTTTTGATTCGAAATTATCACTGTCTAACAAGACTACTGACAAAGGTTAATTTCACTTGCCAATCAGACCACAAAACATCCATTATCAATTGCCAAAGAGCAAAATTTACTTGCCCTGGGAAATCAGACCTGGGTTTTTTCCTGCCCTGACATGGCACTCTCAGATGCACCCAACAAAAGAAACTACATGTACAGTACATTAAGGTTGTGGAAGGAATATATTTTTTTTCTCTCAATTCAGTTTCCTACTGAAGTACATGTACTCAGTAGGAAGTAGCCATGTTAGAGTTTTATTAGACAATTTTTTTAAATTATCACATTTAGGAAATTAAGTGAGAAGTGAAATTGTGATTGGAAGTACATGTAAGTAACCTGAGAATCAGTGCCCAGTAGTTCAAAAACCGATTAACGCTAATCCAGGATTAAAAGTTAATCAGGGTTCAAATTTCTCTTGAGTTAAAGTGTTTTCACAGTCCATGTTTCCTGGAGTTTGACATTGTCAAAGCCAAAATTGTAGGACAAAAAATTTAAACAGAAAACTTCACTGAAAAGTTACAAAATTGAAATAAAAAATTATGCTAATTCTGGATTAGCCCAATCATGCTTTGAACAACCCGGCCCAGGTTTTTCAAACAGAAGGAAAAGTAGGGAGGAAACAGGAAGAAGAGCCTGACACAAAGGCCTTCATTAGGGCCTTCAACCCCATAGCTTCCTGACTTGCAACTTCAGAAAAAGTGAGCTTACTAACTAATCAAAATCACTTGATGCTGGTCCAGGGCCACCCCTTTTCCTCACGCCAAGGTCCTGCCAGTTCTGGGGATGAGAAGGTGGTATTACAACGCATATATACATCCTTACTGCTCATGCAATAATCAAGGAAAGTTGTGCACTAAGCCATGGTTATTGGGAATGTGGCGGCAATTTCTCCCTGACAAAACTTGTCAGATTAATAAATGCCTATTTTCTTGTAAACAAACAGAGCATCCAAATCGTTTTTTTTTTTTTTTTCATATGTACATATGTATAGTTCCAGGAAATATCCACACCTCCCCCACAGAAGGAATTTTTTAAAAACGTCACCCCCATCCCCACCCCTGTGGAAATTCATCATTATAATTTCCAATTGCCCATCTGGAAAAGTTGTTCCTGTGTATAGGTCCATATTATATATATTTATTTCTATGTCATTAACAGCCTTTGTTTTTATTTTTACCAATGGCAAACTATTCATCTGAAAGTGAAGGATAGAAGATTGAAATGATGACTTCTTGTTTTACCCTCTAGCTGCACCTGTATTGAAACCTTCAGATCCAGTATTTATTGCCGATGGTTTAACAGGAGAGGTGTCTTGTTCGGTGGTCAAGGCCAACCCTCTGCCACTGTTCACGTGGGAATACAAAAATAAGAATTGTGGGAAGAATTGTAAGTGGGAAACTGTTCCTGGAAATCTGGTGCTCACGCCCACAAATACGCCCACAAATGAAAGTGCTGTGCAAGTAAAAAAAGACCAACCGACTGCTTATTACCGGTGCAACACAAGCAATACCGTGGGAATAGATTCTCATACTGTAGAATTTTTTCGCCTTGGTAAGTTAAGTTCCTAATTGTTTACGTTGCTGCACATACCTCGTACCAGTTAACAATAACTGGCATAATAATCAAATTATTAAAAAGTGGATCTTTGGATAATACAATTGAAGAGTTTTCATTGGTTTTAGCCATCATGGGTTATTCGTGAGCAACTATACCATGCTCTACAAATATGGTAAGTGTACTGTATATGTGATTTTTGTGTGTGATTTTATCATCAACTTTTAACACTCCTTGGAAATTTTTCCACATTTCCATACATATACTTCTTTTTACTGAAAAACAGCTGTAAATGAACAGCTGGTGCTACCGAATTTGCATACATCTGTAGAATCGAGACATTGAAGTAAACAAGTTGTTGGCATGTGGAAGACTGACAGTTTTTTCCCCCAATGAAATGTTGTACTTCAAGACCTTAAGTTCAAAGGAGGCACTATTATTTTCAAAGTAGTACATCTGTTTCAAGATGAATCTTTGTGAAATTCACTTCTTAGCAAGCAAATCTTCAAAATTTTTTTCCATAAACCAGTTACTGCTGGGTCAACTTGAGACCAGCCACATCACTCCATACACGTGTAATTGTTATATAAATTGTCACTGGAGGAATCCTCAAAATATAAAAAAAGTAAAAACGACAAAGTTCTTGTAAGTTTTTGTTTAGAGATATTCTTGCCAAAAACGTAATATGAAAAGAAGTGTTATCAATGTTCAAAGCTTAAATAATTTCATAAAAATGCCAATCATGCTCGCCAATAGGATTTGTACTTGCCCGACATTTTTCACACTTGCATGATTGGTGAGTAAGCGAGGGCTAATTTCCAACGGTGTTACAGGAAACAGACCAGCTGAAGTACATTGCATGCTGGTAAAATGAAATTAAGGAAAGATGGATCTTAAAAATTTAATGTTTTCAGCCCAAAAACTCTGATTAAGAACGCTTGTCAAGTGCAAATTCCTTTGCCTTAAAGTGTTTTACTACAAGTTTGAAGGATTATAAATGTAAGACCCGACTTTTACTCATTTCTCTACTAAACAGATTAATCCAAGATCACCTGAAGATAATGGTGCATGAAATGAGCACAAGAGTGGATTCTTAATTTGCTGTCATGCACCATGACCGAAATGATCCTGAATTAATTTGCTTAATAAAGAGACACAAAATCCGTTTGTGGATTTAACAATCCAATCTTGGATTTTCCCAACGAAATGCACCCTGAGTTACTGGGAAAAATTGTGGCTGATGTTAATAAAATTGGTTCCTTCAACAGCAAAATCAAGGCCTCTGGTTGAGTTTGACCCCAACAGCATAGCGCAGCACAATGAAAAGTCCACTTTGCGTCTGGTTTGCTTTGATCGGTGTGACCTCTGCCCTTTCCCCTCTCAGTTTGCAAAAGATGGTGTCAATCTCTTATCTACAAATGATCCACGTGTCAATGTCACTTACTATAAAAAGACAGACAAGGAGCCAGAAAACAGGCTTGTGCTTACCATTAAGGACTTGACATTGAATGATTCTGGAAACTACACATGTAGATCGAGTGCCAAGCCAACGATTTTTGCTGATATTTATGTTACGGTCAACAGTAAGTGTGCTTTCATGTTTTTTGGTATTAGTGTGATTCTATACTGTATGAACAAACTGTGATTTATAAGTCACCAATACATGCATGTAATTTGTAGGGGTGCCCATGAAAATCGGATTTTTTATCATGAGGCCATCGTAGAAATGTATTATACATGTAGAGTTTATATGAAGCAGACTGTATGTAACACTAATTTCAGAGAAGACCATCCCTTAAAGCAGATACCCTCCTTAAGGCAGACAACTTCCTTAGGCAGACTCCTCCCTTCAGGTGGACACCTCCCTTTAGGTAGACACCTGTTATTAGGCAGACACTGCCCATTAGGCGGGCATCTCCCTTAAGGGGACACCTTCCTTTAGGACCCACATTCAGCTGTAAACCTCTCTTAAGGCAGACACCTTCCTTTAGGCAAACACTTCTCCTTAGGCAGACATCTCCTTGATCAAGTGGTCTCTTTGGGAGGCTGAACTCAGTACATAGAAATGCCCCGACTGCATACAAATCTGTAAAGTACTACATGTACGTCATTGGTAAGGAATTTTTGAGGCTAAACCTTCCTTAAGTAAAGGAAGAGAGAAGAGATGAATTCAGCGGCATTCATTATTTTGGTGATTTCTTTACAGGGCTGGTTGCACCCGAAGTCATTGTTCAACGCAATAAAACCATAGTTCAAGGAGCCAACTTGTGGCAGACACAGTTGTTTTGTAATGCTACTGGAAACCCGAAGCCGAAAATCACTTGGTACTTCTACAAGGATGGTCAAACCATTCAAGTGAACGAGGCAGGCAGTGGTCTCCAAGGCGATCCAGATAAATGCGAGAAACGGACTGATGATTTTTATTTCTTACAAAGTAATGATCCCAAACACCTTGTCATTTGTAATCCCAAGAAAAGGCACACAGGACAATACAAGTGCCGTGCCGCCAACTCAGAAGATCAGAAGGAAGGGAGTGTCTTTATAAATGTGCAGAGTGAGTACAGTAAAACCTGGTCTAGACAAGCAGTTTTTATGTGATAATTTTTATATCGCAAATGTATTTGATCATGTTTAAATGCACAGCACATTATTTTATTTGTAAACAGTTCAAAGTTTAGTGTGGTAGTAATGACTTCGGACAGCAGAGATATGCAGAAACAAGGCAGAGCTGCTAAGTCGCCGCTGAAAAATACGGACATATTTGCCACATTTTATGTGACAAGTCGTCTATACGAAAGAGAAGAACTGGACTATGCCTCCCAACTCCCAAATAAAAAGGACGGGGGGTGCTTGTCGTACCTTTTAGGGGTTAAAAAAGGGTTCTTGGTACCTCTTAGGGTGTTCAGCCTCTAAAAGGTCCACAGCAGGATCTTGGAGATCTTTTCAAAATTTCCAGTGAGCACCCCAATCCTTTTTATGTCGGAATCC